AATAAGGCACCAGCTTGATTAATGGCATCAGTCGAATCTGAACGTTTTGCACGAAAGATTTTAACAAGATTTATTACACGACTCGGACAGTCAGAGGGCCAATAACTAAAATCAACCAATCAGAATGCTCTATTGCCGGTCCAATATTCTCTAAGTATTGGACCGGGCACTGTCCCGAATGGTCCCGAATTATACCGCACTTGTGTCTCTTTGAACTTCAGTCGTGTAATAAATCCCTTATTAACCAAGCTTGCTCGGGACCGTACCGGCAGAATATCTGCCCTCGAGCCGATATTCTCCCAGTACGGCCCTCGCGCTTGCTTAATAAGATATATAAGTTACGGATGAGAGATAAAATTGATTTGGCTCCAATTGTTGATAATACATCTATTTAAAGAGCAGCGAATTGTTTGTTTGTCGTGTGTATCAAACTATTAAAATCCTATTTGAGTCCAGAGTTGCATGTTAAGACAGGTAGGCTAGAAAAATAAAACACCTGACAGGTTTTGTAAAAATAACGTTAACTGACATGATTAAACGAGGAGATATGTAGCCTATATATATTAACAAACGTTCTCAAATACAAGATTTAATTGTGAAGAATAACGCTGGAGGAAATGTCAGATTTCAAGTTGGAGCGTATGACTCAAAGAGACAGTCAACCTTGATATTCAGAAATTTCAAGGAGACGATAAAATTATGCATCAAACCAGAGATTCGTGGATGTTGTCAACCGCCAAAAACGAAGAGGTCAATCAATCAATCAATCAAGAAACTTTATTTAAGGAGGGACGCTCATTAACCCAAGGAGTTATCTAAATGATGAGGCCCTCAGGTTTGGATTGTTGATATATCAAGCCTAATCTTTTTATTTAAACTAAAATAGCATAACGTTACGTAACAGACGTATACCAAATGCTCTTAACCCCAGCTTCCAGTAAACTTCAGGGGAATAAGATTTATAGCAGTCAACGGAGACTTGCAAAAGACCGTAGCCGAGATTTGAAACTACCGAGATTAGGGCAGAAATTGGAAAAAAGGATGTAACATGAACGCTTTCTTTTTTGGGTATAATAGTCTAGAGCTGGCGCTTTGCATGTATATGCCCTCCAGCGTTTTATGTCTTCCTTCCACGTACAAATGGGAAATAGGAAGTCATTTACTTTAACCGTCCAAAAGGGTGACTCAAAATATTTTTTAAAGACAGTGGCTCATATTCGTACTTCAAACACATGGTGTATTCCCTTCGAGTTATGATGCTTTCGAATCGTTTTTGGCATGGAGTCCAACAATTATTTACACCATGTGTCCATTTTCTGAGAAACGCTAATTTAAGA